CACGGGATGTGGGAGCAGGGCCCGGCTCCCGCCGCAGGGAAATTCCCACTTGGGAGCTCAGCCCAGCTCCCAAACGTGGCAGAATTCCCGCATGCGCCGGGCTGGACTCCCTGCTTTGAAGTGAGCGCAGCCCGTGCATGAATAGGCACAGGAAAAGATCCCCAAATCTCTTCCTGCCGGAATTTTGTATTTAAACCCGCCATGCGGATGTGTTTTCCCAAGCGTTTTCCCGGCGCCGCGGCGGGAGCGTACCCGGTAGAAGAGCGGGATGCTGTCAAAGACGTAGGGGTAGGCGAAGGCCAGCGTGCGCGCCGCCTTGCTCAGCCGCGGCCGCGCCGGCTCCAGGAACCTGCACGGGACGCACAGGGCCCGTTACCTTCCCGCCTTCCCTTCATTCCCTGGCACGGCGCTTGGGAATGTATAGAGCAGGCACGTCCTTCCCCATAGAGATCCGTGAAGTTCTGCCTGGACCGCACGGGGTTTTTGGTCTATCCAGGTGCCTTCCTGCTGGATATTCCCACATTAAATGCACAAGAGCCTCCCCTGAGTGTGGATGAAGGCTCCTTTCCAGCAGCCGGGTGGGAATGGGGACAGAGCTGCACGAGGAGGCACCAGGGCTCGGCCAGAGCCGACGGGGCCGCAAATTGTGCCGAAAACGCCCCAATTTAACCATCCACAGGCTGCTCCTTGCTCTCTCCTTACCCCTTCTCCCATCTCCTCGCCCCACATCCTTCTCCCATTCCCTTTTCCCGTTGCCAACTGCTTTTTAATCCAATCTCCCTCCATTCCCCCCTCTGCTGCTGCCGGTCCCGCGGCGCCTCCGCTCCGTTCCCGATGCCCTTGGGAAAAAAACCTCCCACCGAAGGAATCCAGCCCAGCCCCGTCTCCAACAGGTACAATCCGAGACGCGGCTCGGCACGTGCCAGGCACCGGGAGCAGCCTCGGGAACGCGGAGCTTTCCCTTGGCACGGTGCGTTCGGCTGCTGCTGCCCATTAACAACCACACGTGGGCAGAGCTCGGCCTGCAGCAGCCGCTGCCCCCGCGGTTGTTTTTAAGGGAATTTTCCCTCCCATCGCTCCGAATCGGAGCTTTCCGAGCCCCGGAGAAGGCACCTGCGATCGCTTGGAAGGCTGCAATGCCAAGGTTTGTTAATTAAGCTGATTGCAGCTTGTGCCCAAAATGCACGAAATGTCTCCGCACGCGCCTTCCTCGCACCCCGTGCAGTTGTCATTGCAGAGAATGCACGGGGATTACAGCAGAATTGAGCGTAAATCAACGTGTCACCGTCCTGTGACACCGTCACAACAACAACAACAGCCTGTGGGTTGTGCTGGTACCGCCCGGGAGGAGGGAAGCGGAGGGGAGGACAGGGAATAATATTCGGCATTTTTCCCTGCCTGGGAAATTACACTCAAAAGTGTAATTTGAAATTTGAGTACACTCAAAAGTGTAATTTCCCCCCGCACTGTGGGGAATAGTCCATGGCTCAGAGCACAAAATAACCGAACTCTTGGATGCCCAGAACGTGGAATAGGAGACGTGGAGCTGAGCACGGAGCCCCAGGAACACGGCAGATCCATCTGCCTGCAGCACCGAAGGGCTCCGTTCATGGGATAATCCCAAAATGCGCCGAAAACCCAGGAAAGCGGGAGCTGCCCTGGCACAAGGAGCCTCCGCTCCTTCCCGCCCCGCTCGGCCCGTTCCGGAGAGGCGACGTGGCCGAGATGGGGATGGAGCATCCGGCCTCGCGTGGGGATCCCGGGATTGTTGTTCCCGCTGCAGCCCCGGGGAACATGGAATCCTGCAGCAGGTACCGCCGGGGACCTGCGCTGGCTCCTCCACGGTGACATTCAGTCACCAGGAGCATTCCCGGGATGACGGCAGCCGTGATTCCACGTTTTTCACAGCTGCATGTGCAGTTTTGTAGCGGAGACGCTGACATTTAAATTTGCGGGTCGAGAAAACTTGGAAAATTCCCAATTAGCAGAAGGTCGATCGCCAGCTGCTGCAGCGTCCCGGTGTTGCGTCCCAGCGGGAAGGGCAGCGCGCCCAAACCAGAGCGCAGGACACGAAAACGGGAGGGAAAAACAGACAGGAAGCAGGAAAGAGAAGCGAGGAGCATAAGGAAAAGACGCCAGATCCTTCCCAGCATCATCCAAAGGCCGTCCTTGATTCCACAACGCTGTATGACAACACAAAAACGGGCTCAAACCTTCTACCCCAGAAACTCTACTGCAGCGAGGGATCCTCAGTCCAAAACACAAGAAAATCCCTTCGTTTCCAGCAGATTTTCAGCCTCAGGCAAATGCCGCAAACGAGAGGAATGAATAACAGGGAAGTGTCACCGGTCTTCGAAAACTGCAAGGGATTTTCTGGTTTTTTGCAAAGCAAAGGGTGTAGGATTGCGATGGCAGCTACAAATACAGCCTCGAAGGAAGGATCTGCCGTGAATAAAGTGGGATAATAAAGGAGAATCCTGCTGGGGTCCTGGGAGAGGATGCAGCTAGAAATCAGCTAAGGGCTTGAGGCATTTGCAAGAGAGTCATTGGGAACAAATCACCTAATTCCATTTGGGAACGCAGCGCTGCAGACATAATGCCACTTGTGCTTGGAAAATAATGCTGGCGCCTGCGGGAATGAGGGCTCCTCCTCCGCAAATCCGGAGCGCGGAGCCCGGCGGGAGGGCCCGAATCCCAGCACGTGCCGAGGCGCCGGCAGAGCTTCCCGGCCGGAGGAGCACCGGAGCCAGAGCCGGCGTTCCAGGTGCCCGTCCATATAAAACCCCCTCTTGGATTCCCCAAACCAGGAGCTCCCCGAGCGCTGGCAGCCCCGCGTGCCGGCCCGCGCGTTTCCCGCGCCGAATCCTCCTCCTCCTCCCGCTTCCCGG